CATTTTCCCCCCTCAAAATCTGCCTTTTCCACACCAAAATCTGGTTTGTTTTTTTTTTTTTTTGCCCCAAAACTTGACTTTCCCCCAGGATTTTCTCCCCCCCCCCAAAATCTTCCTCTTCAACCTGAAAATCTGCCCCAGAGCCCAAAACCTTCATTTTTTTTACCTCAGGAATGTCCCCACTCCCAATATTTGTCTCATCACCCTCAAATCTCCCATTTTCCCCCCTCAAAATCTGCCTTTTCCACACCAAAATCTGGTTTGTTTTTTTTTTTTTTTTTTCCTCAAAACTTGACTTTCCCTCAGGATTTCCTCCCACCCCCCAAAATCTTCCTCTTCAACCTGAAAATCTGCCCCAGAGCCCCAAATCAGAATTTTTGAGGGGCCCAAAATCGGCTCCTTTTCCTTCAGGATTCCCTCCCCAAAAAATCTGCCTTTTTCACCCCAAAATCTACTCCAGACCCCAAAATCTGCATTTTTTTACCTCAGAAATGTTGCCCCAAAATCTTGGCTCCTCTGGGACCGGGGCCCTTGTGCTCCGTGTGGGATCCATCCCAGAGCCCTTTCCCTGCTCCCTGTTTTCTGGGAAAAGGGAATAAAAGAGGCAGGAAGATGAAATTTTCCCCTCAGCACAATGAAAATTCCCTTTTTTTTTTTTTTTTTTAATGCGGGATGAGGGTCAGGACAATGAGCACGAGGCTCAATCCCGTCTCTGCCGGGCTGGGAATTCCAGGATCTCCCGGTTCCTGATCCCGAGGGGGTTTTCCATGTGCAGCCCCCCCGTTTTGTGGCGGATGGGGGTGGTGTCATTGCATCAGGAATGGCACCAACTGCTCAGGGCGATTGTGCAACGGGAAGGGGCCCCAAAATTCCCGGGACACCGAGGGAGGAGCCGGTCGCGGGGGGTTGGGGGGTGTCTCGCTGCCGTGCCCTGAGCCACCCCCAGGCCGTGTACCCCCTGTCCCCACGCCGGGACCACCCTCTTGGCCCTGGGACCCCTCTGTCCCCACGCCAGACCCCTATGTGCCCCCCTCGCGACTCCCGCTCCCCAGCCTGAGACCCCCCTGTCCCGGCCCCGGGACCGCTCCAGGCCCCCCTGTCCCCACTCCTTGTCCTCTTGTCCCCAGCCCGGGATCCCCTGGGACCCCTTGTCCCCACCCTGGGCCCCTCTGTCCCCTCTCTGGGACCCCCCTGCCCCCCGAGGGTCCCCCCCGAGGGTCCCCGCGCACGTGGGCTCTTTCACTTTCTGACCGGGCCGGGTGGGCCCGGCGCGCCCCCCGCCACCTGTGCCTCTGACCAATCAGAAAAATCTCCGCGGCGCCGCCCGCCAATGAGAGCGCTGTGGCTAGGTAGATTAGCGCGCGGGTGTCAGCGGGCATGGGGGCGGGCTCGTCCCCATCGTGCAAGCGCCGCCGGCCAATCACGACAGGAGGCGATAATGATTGACAAACAATCAAACCAATCAGAGCAGGGTGAGCGATGACGGCGAGGAGAAGGCGCGGCCACGCCTTGAGCGACACCTCGCACAGCCAATCAGAGCGCGGGGGTGCGGCGCGGCAGCCAATGGGAGCTGTGGGGCGGGCCGCGGCGGGCGCGGAGGTGCCGGGCCGGGAGTCGCGATGGGGCCGCGGCGCGGGGCGGGCGCGGGGCCGGGCCCGGCGCTGGGTCTGGCGCTCGGACTCGGCCTGGCCGTGGCCGCGGGGGCCGCGCTGGGGCTGAGGCACCGCGGGCCGCACCGGGACCCCCGCGGCGGCGGCGAGGCCTGCGCCGACCTGCGCGGGGCGGCGGCCGCGCTCGGCAACAACACGCACCAGGTGAGCGCGGACGGACGGGCGGGCGGACGGACGGGCAGAGGGGAGGGGGCTGTGCGGGGAGCGGGGACACCGCGGGGACGGCGGGGACACCGCGGGGACACTCCGCCCTCCGGCCGGGACACACACCTCCCGCCCCCCAGCCCCGCCCCCGCCCTGCGGGACGGGCGGACGGACCGACGGACAGGGAGATAGATGGAGAGACAGAGGGACAGGCGGACTGATAGAGAGATAGACGGACAGACGGACAGAGCTGTAGACGGAGAGACAGAGGGACAGGCGGACTGACAGAGGGATAGAGGGAGAAACGGACAGAGCGATAGACGGAAAGACAGAGGGACAGACGGACTGATAGAGAGACGGAGAGACGGACAGGGCGATTGACGGAAAGAGCGATAGACGGACTGATAAAGCGATAGACAGAGGCGCAGACGGACAGAGCGATAGGCGGAGCAACAGAGGGACAGAGTGATGGACTGATAGAGCGATAGAGTGACAGACGGACAGACCGATAGACAAGCAGGCGGACGGACAGACCGACAAACAGACAGGTGGACCGACAGACGGACAGACCGACAGACAGACTGACAGACAGACTGACAGGGCGATAGACAAACAGACAGCTCCCCGCTCCCTGCCCTGGTAGAACCCGACCCCCCGCATGTGATGGCAGGTGGGGGTGGGACGGACAGACAGACAGACAGATAGACATCCCCCCCTGCACCCCTTGGGATGGACAGACAGACAGATAGACAGACACTGCACCCTCTGGAATGGACAGACAGACAGACAGACATCCCCCACTGCACCACCTGGGATGGACAGACAGACAGACACACAGACACTGCACTCCCTGGGACAGACGGACAGACAGACAGGCCCCCATGAGTGTCCCTATGCCCCCTCCCAGTGTCCCCAGGCCCCCCTGAGTGTCCCCAGCTGCCCCCCCGCAGCCCCTCCAGTCCCCCCCGTGTCCCCGGGGGTCCCTGGCTGGCAGGGGTGGCCGTGGGTGGGACCCCTCCCTCTCTGGGGTGGGGGGGTCCCGGCACGGCCCGGGGGGGCTGAGGGGGGGAGAGGGTGGTGTCGCTGTCCTGGGGGGGTGGCAGGGGACAGCCCTGCCCTGGGGGGGTCTGGTGCTGTGGGGGGGTCTGTCCCTGAGGGGGGGTCTGTCCCTATGGGGCGGGTCTGTCCCTATCGGGGGTCTGTCCCTATGAGGGACTCTGTCCCTGTGTGTGGGAGTCTGTCCCTATGAGGGGGCAGGGCTCTGTCCCTGTGGGGAGGTCTGTCCCTGTGGGGAGGTCTGTCCCTGTGGGGGGGG